AGAAGATTTACATACATTCCCACTCACTCCCATGTCCAACCCGCCCTTGCACCAATAGTGGGGCCCCACCGCCACGTTATGTGGTACTTGGTTCCGCACATCACTGGGCCTGTTACCGTGCCGGTCATTCCTCCGGTCTTTCCTGATTCTGAGCTTATCCCTGTTATGCCCATTGTTTCGTGCCCACAATGTGCTGCACGGGTGGCATGTGCCACTATCCCAGTTTCTATTGTTTCCTGGAGATTGGTCAATAAACACAAACACTAAGGAACTACTTATCTTGTGTTGCATATACAGTAGTTGTGGGTGACCGTTAGCGGGCAATGATGCGGGTTGGGCGCACCGAGTGTCGGTAAGGTGTCTTGCATGTCTGTTCTAGACCACACTTGCCGGTAGACTAGTTATTATTCGCTACTCTGCTGGTTATATGCTTGGGCGCCGCCTCAGTTCCCCACAGGTTGGCAGGACTTTTTATTGGACGTACGGAACGGTTTGAGTTCCGCCGTTGGTACTTTGTAGAGCTTTGCTTCTCTAGTTCAGCTCCTGTGTTTGAAGCGTGTATCTTCTTGGGATACTCTACTCCCTCCGCCACCCTTGTTCCCTGTTCCATCCTTGTTTACTCTTCCCCGCTTGGCGGGATTGCGTCGATGGCTCCTGACTAGGGTGTTTGGTGTGGTGTTTGGTCACCTTGCATGTGTCTTTAGTGCCTTTTGTCCATTTGTTGTCCTGTGGGGCTCTGCCCCGCATTTCGGTGCTTTTGTTTTCGTTGTAGACCCCTGGGTCTTTTCCCTGTCTGGACACTTTCCTTGCCTATCTTCGGTACCTGACTGCACCCTCACATAGCCGAGGGAGAAATCATCTCAAGAACCTCAAGATAACCCTGCTGTCCGTAAGGTCCCTCAGGTATGTACGCGCTCCTCTACACATTTTGTGGTTGGTCGTGTGCATTACTTCCCGGCCGCTCCTTGGGCCGTATTCGTGGTTTTCCTTACCTAATTCAGTTTTTCCTCCCCCATGCTTCACTTTTTTGTATATGAGTCAGTGCTTCTTGATTATCCTGTTTGGTTCTCCGGTGGACCTCTGTCCATGTTCCACGTCCTGCTTTTGGACTTCTCTGGTGTTCCATTGTGGTACCGAGTTCCTGCGATTTCTGTGTGGTTTTCTGCAGGCTTCGGGTTGCGCTGTCTGTGGGGAAGGTGGGGGTGGACTTTTCGGTCTGCCGCTCCTGCCTTCCTGGTTCCTTTTCTTGAAACCGGGTTTGCTGGGTTCCGGTCCTGGTGTCGGTTTTTCTTTGTTCCTTTTCCGGACCGGGTGTGTTTGTTTTCCTGCGGTTCTCGTCCTCAGTAGTTCTCCTCTTGGATGCCTCGGGGATGCGTGTATCATTCTTCCCTGCTGGAGCTGGTTCTGTTGCTCCTTTGGGTTGCGGGGTCGCTGTTTTTAGATTCGCGTTTTGCGCTTTCGATTGTGGTGTTTGTTTCTCGTCGTTTGTGTCGGCACAGGTGGGTTCGTTATTGGTCTCCCACCTGCATGTTTCATCTAGGGGGCGGTGTTTGGTTTTCCTATCATTGCGAAAGGTCCTTCGGTCTTTGATAGGGTTGGTTTGTCTTCTCTTCGGGGTTGTTCTGGGACCGTTGTCTGGGATTGTCCTGTCACCTCATGTTGGGTGGTGCTGGCAGCGCCGCTCCTGCTTACGTTCAGTGTTGCAGTTCCTTCTGCTCCATTCCACTTGCTGTCCTGGGCGTTGTTCCCCTCTGGCCGGCTCTTGAGTTTTGGGGCCGTCCTGGTCATTGGCCTGGGTGGTCTTTTTCTTCTCGTTTTGGTCTTTGTTTTGTCTCTGGTTTTGGTTGTTCAGTTAGGATGTGTGGTATCCGCCTCCCGGTTCCTTCCCTGTTTTACTTATCTTTCGGTAAGGTAGCTCCAGGGAGCCGACGGGGCTCCCCCCAGAAAACCAGCGTTGAATTTAATGAAATGCCATTTTCTGGGTGAGTCCCGGAGGCTCCCCGGCATCCCTCCCTCCCTCCGGTCGGCGGCGTTTTCGTGTATTTTGACATCCAGCCTAAGAACTGCCAGTTGGATCGCTGGCGTGGAGGGTCTGGGGCTCCCCCTTCCCCCTCTCGGGGAGGGGGGAGGGGTTGTGCAGACGGTTGCGCGGCAACGTGATGACGTCATGCTAGTTTGATAATTTTGTTTGGGGAGTTCTGTCCACTTGTTCGGCTTTTGGTAGCAATATTTTCACCAGAATAGGGGTTTGTTTTGGGCGCCTACCTTTCTGGATGCCTGTCCTGGTCGATGGCAGACATAGAATGCTCCCAATCACAAAGGGGTTTCTATAGGCCATTGCTCCTCGTGCCTCAGAGAGGCACGAGGAGCCAGGTTCTGGCTCGTGGTCCCCGGTAGGCAAGAACTCCTAGCACTTTGACTGATGCCAGAAAGTTATACATATCCATTCAGCCTGGATAGCTCCGGGGAGCCTCCGGGACTCACCCAGAAAATGGCGTTTCATTACATTCAACGCTGGTTTTTTTTTTGGGGGGGTCATCTTTTGCGGGTAATATAGGCCTAAACCTGAAATACACTTCTAAATGTTTGGGGTCAACTTATGCGCAGGATCAACTTGTATGCCGGCTTATATGGTATTAATACAGTGGAACTTCAGTGTACTATTGCCTCAAAGTGCAAATTTTTTGGTGTACGATGTAGATTCCATCATCAAATCTGCCCCAGTATATAACGTTTGTTCCGGAATACGAAGTGCTTGTTCAGTATCCACTCGATTTAATTAATGACCTATATGGGGTCATTAAATTCTAGGCTCTGCTATTATCTGGAGGGTTTAAAATGTCTATTAACTTTTTAGTCATATTTCGAAGGGCAACAGGATGGATGGTGAGGAGACTAAATGGATGGGTGGATGGATTTAGGGGGTCTGACGGCTAAGTGGACAGCGCTCGGGATTCAAGGTTCTAAGATTCCAAGTTCAATCCCTGGCGGAGGCAGAAACAAATGGGCAGAGTTTCTTCTACCCTGATGCACCTGTTCACCTAGCAGTAAATAGGTACCTGGGAGTTAGACAGCTTCTATGGGCTTCTTCCTGGGGATGTGTCACAAAGAGGAGGCTTGGTCGAGGATTGGACCGCGGGGGATGCTAAGCCCGGGAGCTGTCCGCTGGGGAGCCGGTCGGCCGAGTGGACAGCACACTGGACTTGTGATCCTGTGGTCCCGGGTTCGATCCCGGGCGCTGGCGAGAAAACAATGGGCAGAGTTTCTTTCACCCTATGCCCCTGTTACCTAGCAGTAAAATAGGTACCTGGGTGTTAGTCAGCTGTCACGGGCTGCTTCCTGGGGGTGGAGGCCTGGTCGAGGAACGGGCCGCGGGGACACTAAAGCTCCGAAATCATCTCAAGATAACCTCAAGCCCCAAAATCATCTCAAGATAACCTCAAGATATGATTGGGGACTAGATAGATGGATGGTGAGGGGGATCAGATGGATGGCAGGGGAGTGGGAGGGGGGTGGGGGGAGGGGGGAAGACAGATGGGAGTGGTAATGATGTGTGCAGGTGCGCAATAGAGTGAGATGCTTAGCAGAATGGGTGTAGTGGTGCCTGCATGCCCATGGGCACATGGGCATGTAGGCAGCAGAATGGGCTGGTGGCAAATGGTAGACTAAGGAGGTGGGTGGCAGGGAGGGCATAGTGGATGGGTAGCAGGGTGGTCAGGAGACAGAGTGGGAGGCAGGTGAGTAGCAGGACAGTTGGCAGAGTGGATGGGTGGGTAGCAGTGAGCAGGCAGGCGGTGGCGTGAGATGGGTTGCTGCAGTGGGTGAGCTTCCAACTAGGACTAACAGGAGCTGATCAACCCTGGTCCCTCCCCCATCCCCTGTCCTCCTGCTACCTCCATCCCCCCATCCCCTGTCCTCCTGCTACCCCATCCCACACACCGAACTCTCCCCGCTACCTCCATCCCGCACACTGGGCTTTTCCCGCTACCCCCATCCCGCACATCGGACCCTGAGTGCCTGACAAACTCTTATTGTTTACTTACTGACTGGTTGCAACTGTGAAAGCCTGACAGACTGTTAATGCCTGATTGACTGTGAATACTTGATTGACTGGAAATGCCTGATTGACCGGAAATGCCTGACCAGGTTGCTTCCACAACTGTGAATATTTGGCTGCCTTTGGTTATGACTGCCTGTGAATGCTTAACTGACTTGGAATGCTTGCCAGACTGTAACTTGTTGTGACTGTAAATGCCTAATTGGTTGCTGCCACAACTGTGAATGCTTGACTGCCTTCGGTTATGACTGCCTTTGGTTATGACTGCCTTTGTTTATGACTGCCTTTAGTTATTTATGACTGCCTGAGACTAGTCTTGACTGTGAATGCTTGACTGTGAATGCTGACTGACTTGTTTTGACTGTAAATGACTGGTCTGGCTGGCTGCTACATAATAGAGGCAGTGAAATGTCTGAAAGGAAAATCTGGAACGAGTTAAAGCAGATATGAAAGCATTTAAGGCAAGTAGGGGAATGGTCTGATGTTATGATGGAAAGGGGTGCTCCTTTTAAACATTCACCTCCTCCTCCCTCCCTTGTCACCAACGTGTCCCCATCCTGCCCCATACACCAACACCGCTCCTCCCTCCCTCCTCACCGTTTCCTATATGCCAACAAGTGTCCTCAGTAAAGGTAAAATGCAGTTAAATGTTCACTTATTTTATTTACAGTTTATATTTATACCTGATTGTTTTGTGTGTTTTGTATGAAAAATATGAGTAGTACTGTATTCTGTATAAAATGTACTTTTAAGTTAATATTTTTAGGGGTGTGGAACAGATTAATTCAACTTACATTATTTCTTATAGGAAAATTTGATTCAGTGTATGATCCTTATCTTGGAACAGATTAAATTCGTTGACTGAAGTTCCACTGTAGTGTATAATGGAAACTGCTCTGCTTACGAATATTTATGCCTACAACATAGTAATTATTGTTTGCAGAGTGTAAATGCAGCTCATCCTTCAGGCATCACTTCTCACACGGAGCTGTTGATTCCCGCTCATCTCTCCACAGAAGCTGCCTCCCTCCTCTCACAGGTACAATCTATCTACAGGCTGTTATTGTTTTCAGAGTGAATTATGTGAAAAGTCAGATTTCTGGTTCTAAAGTAAACTTTAACCCCCACTGCACAACACACAAAGGGATGTTCTTGGTAAATATCTGCAAACTTAGTGACATAATCAGGGATGTTTTTAAGTGCAGTGCAAGATTTTAAATTCCTGTAGGTACACAGGACTCACATCTGCTTCCTCAGGCCTCCAGTAAACAGAAGCCATCTTGGAAAAAACTATGGGCACCCCCTCCTGGGTGTTAGGGGGCCTCAGTACCGAGAGAACAACCATGAGTGGTGTATGTAACAGCAGCAGCTCACAGCACTGCCATGTATATCATGCCCATAGCATAATTTAATAGTGATGAAAATAAATAAGTTACTGCAAATTTAAAATGATAGTGTCATAGTAGATCTTGTGATAAAAACCATATACAGAGTTCAGAGATCAGTGAACCCAGTGCTGGTTATGATGTTTACAGCACAAGGCAGACATCCTTAGCATACAGCTGCTGTTTGATGCATCTACTCATCATGAAATGGGACCTCATCTTCCTTTAGTAAATAAATTTAACCCCTGGGCTACTCTTGTGATTATAGCCAGAAAACGCCCGGCACAAGAAATAACAAAAATTAAAAAAAAAAAATTGTCTTATAAAAATGTTGAATTGTGTTCCCTGCCTACAGAGAGGGGGGGATCGTAGGTGATATATTTTGGGCACAATAGGGTGAGGAAGTCTGGCAAAACTGAGGCGTTGACAGAGCAATCGTTCAAGTGGTTAACTCCGCCCGAGCTGTCAGGCAGGAGTTTACCACAAAGATATTGTTACCTAATTATTTCAATGTTTCTGATTGATTTTTTTGAGTTTTCTGTGGGAAGCCCCTATGGCTCCCTGGAGCTTATCGGGCTAATGTATGTTATATTAGACCGGAACATTAGCTAAGGAGTTCAGACCTACCAGGGACCAGCGCCAGAACCTGGCCCCTTCAAAGAGGTTTCGGGGAGCAATGGCACTGGAAAATCCTATTGTGGTTGGGGTTTTCCTTATCTGCCATCGACCGGGGTCAGGCACCCAGAAAGGTAGGTATGACAAAACAAACCCCACATAGTAAAAAACTACAACAAAAGCCGAACAGAGAGGTAGAAACTCCCTACAATCCCAAGGAAACAAGCAAACATCACACTTTACTGCCGCGCGGATCGTCCGCGCAGCCCTCCCCACCCCGAGAGGGGAAGGGGGGAGCCCCGGACCTACCACGCCGGCTGCCAAGCTTTAGTTCGTAAGCTAATGTCAACCAGGATAGACGCTTCTCTGGCCTCAGTTTCCTAGGCGGTGTTTGCTTTGTGTGGCGTTCACTGCCGTGTGTAGTGTTGTGTGGTGGCCAGGAGTACCTCATCAGTGCCGGGGCTGCATGCGCTTAGTGGCTGACTTCCCTAAGTGCCCTGTGAGTACTGCCCCTGCGTGTCAGGGTTATCTTCCCTGGGGCGTTCGGGAACCGCCAAACAGACCAAACCGTATGGGTGGTGGTATTTTCCTCCTAACACAGAGTAACATGACATGTAAACCTGTAACGCTTACACATTTTGTAAATGGTAAGCTAGAAATTTTAGCATGCCTAATACCCTACAATGGTACACACATATCCTTTCTGGGTATATACAACCCTGGTGGCACAATAAATTTAAATGAACTAAAATTCTATCTAAACCAATTACGGCAACCGATCATTGTTACAGGTGATCTCAATGCAAACCACCCCACATGGAGTAGAGGTACCCAAAATACTGCAGGCACCGATTTATATAACTACTTAGACACTACACCATATATTCTTCTTTCGCCGCCGCCCTACCTTGCAACCTACTTTAACTACAGAACCAATTATGAAGCCTCATTGGACATCTGCTTTGACTCTGCACACTTTCAACAAGAACTACAGTTTCATACTGGACCAGATATTGGAAGTGACCACAAACCCCTCATTATAAAATTTACTAACTTTCAGCCAGCAACCCACCCCCTAACGCTCCCCAAGTGGAACATTAAGAAACTAGATAAGAAAAAATGGGCTTATATTGTCTGTCTCCCAGATACAGACGATGTAGACCCCAACACGCGACTGGCCACAATCACCTCGGCCATAAATTCTGCAGCCACCCAAATGCTCAAGAAAACTTCAGGACATAGGTCCAACAAACCACTTAAACCGTGGTGGAACGAGGAATGTGCACGAACAGTCGCTTTACGCCGACGAGCCATACAAAAACAAAGACGTCAACCCTCCCTACAGAACTGGGTTAATCTCCGGCGGGCTACAGCAGAAGCCAAAAAAACCATACTGTCAGCAAAGCGAGCATCATGGGCAAAATTTTGTGATAGCCTCACACCCACTACGCCACATTCAAAAGTCTGGGCTACATTTAACAGCATTAAAGGTCGCCCAACATTCCCTTCGTTCCCCCTGATGATCAATGGTTCACTCTGTCAAACACCTCAGGAGCGTGCAAATGTTCTTGCTGAATGTCTTAAAGTTACCCTCTCAACACCCTTCTTTCATGCCCAAGAACTCCCCCTCAGACAAGAAATTGACCGTGCCATACTGCTACCCATGCCCGGCGTCGACAATATATACACCTTAAGCGAGCTACAATTAGCCTTAACCCGCCTACCTCTTGGCAAGGCACCTGGAGAGGATGGAATTCCATATGAACTCATTAAACATCTCCCATCAACTGCACATAGTACTCTCCTAAACTATTACAACCTATGCTGGATTCACAGAAATATTCCCTCACAATGGCAGACCAGCATTATTCTTCCGTTCCTTAAACCAGGAAAAGACCCATCCCAACCTGCGTCATATAGACCTATTTCCCTACTATCATGTCTCAGTAAAGTCATGGAAAGACTACTCGCCTCCAATGGTACCTAGAATATAATAATATTATACCGTCACTCCAAGCTGGATTTCGACCGCAATGCTCCACACTCGATCAAATACTTTGCCTTGAACATGAAATCCGCACCTCCCTCAGAAGCAGCAAATTTTGTATTGTTCTCTACTTAGACCTCAAAGGAGCTTTTGATAGCATTCCTCATACTTGCCTCCTCGCAAAGCTTGCGCGTTTAGGCGTACAGGGAAGATTACTTTTATGGTTAAAATCCTATCTTACGAACAGGACCTCTAAAGTCTATATACAAGGTGAGTTTTCCGATGACATCCCAATACAAACGGGTGTCCCACAAGGCTCCATACTAAGCCCAACCCTTTTTGCTGCATTCTTAGCAGATTTGCCTAACACCCATCCTGTTAACCTCTCGGCGTACGCCGACGACTTAACACTGTATCATTCAGACAACGCCTTACCTAATACAGTCTCAACAATGCAAACAGCACTTGATCACCTCATAGATTGGACACAACAATGGGGCCTTCAAGTTAGTACTACCAAAACCTATTATCAAATTTTCACTAAAAAAAGACTTGTTCATCTACCCACCCTCACAATACACAACACTCCCATCCAACACGTACGAGAACATAAATACCTTGGCATGCACTTAGACTCGCTCTCACTTACCTGGAAAACACACATTCAACACCTTAAACAGACGACACAACCCCGACTTGCCATACTGAAAGCCCTCACTGGCACCACCTGGGGAGCACACCATAAAATCCTGCTCCATTTCTATACAACCTACATTCGCAGCCAACTAGACTATTGTTGCCAAGCATATGCGTCGGCTGCGCCTACTAACCTACAGAGCCTAGAGGTCATCCAAAACAATGCCATGCGACTTATATGTGGCGCAATGCGTTCCACTCCTATCCTCGGACTTTACGGGGAAACGGGCCTCACAAGCCTAGCCACCAGACGAGACATAATGTGTGCCAACTATCTGTCACTCTGTACCACTGCTCACCAGACACACCCATACAGATAAAAAATTAACCCAACAGTTAACCCACATAACCCCCGCTTCCCAACCAATCACTCACAACCTTTCCTCACACGGGCTACAAATAACCTCAATATAGACCTCTCTCTACTTCAAAACTCGGAAACCCAACTTACTGTTCCCCCTATTCCACCCTGGCTTTATACAACTCCTAATACAGCAATACAACTCGAAGACAACATTCCAAAGTCTGCACCAAACTCAGCCATAGCCTCAGTCTTTCTCTCAACAATGAAAAATTGCTACCCAAATACCACAGCGATTTATACAGATGGATCTCGCATCATCATGAACAATGTACCCTCGGTCACTAGCGCTGTATGGATACCGGAATACCATCTCAAGCAGGGATGGCGGTTACCAAACCAACTATCTGTTTTCACAGCTGAATTATATGCCTTATATCAAGCTCTCCAAATAATCACAACATTACCAATCGGGACATATACAATCTGCAGTGACTCCAAGAGTGCGATTCAAGCAATTACGTACTCTTCAAAAATGTGCAAGGAGTTTGTTTACCCATGTCTTCAACTTCTTCATGAACATCGTTTGAACGGTTATGATACCTCTATCCAATGGGTCCCAGCGCATTGTGGTATTCTCCATAATGAACTAGTAGATCAACTAGCCAAAGCAATGCACAACACACCTCACATTACCCGTCATCCAATTCCTCATGTTGCACGTAAAGGAGCCTTCAAAAATACCATCACCCAAGATTTTGCGACGAAATGGAAAACGTCATGCTCACCTTTGTACTACGGGTCCATTAAAAAGAAATGGGAAACTTGGAAACATGTCAGATATAAAAGCAGAGAAATTGATATAGCGATGACCAGATTAAGGCTGGGACAGACCAAACTAGCAGCACACAGCTCTAAGTACAGAGCAGACATCAACGAACTCTGCATCCACTGTCAGGTGCCTGAAACAATCGAACACTATTTCCTACATTGCTTCCGACACTATAGTGCCAGAGTAAATTTCAAACAAGTACTTATCTCACTTAAAATACCCTTTACCATCGAGCATATATTAGGAGGCGGTGACCACTCGTTACAAGAAAAATACCAAATAGTCAAAGCACTGGCTAAATATCTCCAATCGACCAACAAATTGGGTCACATCTGACCCGCGCCACATTTATACCTGGCGCCACCAACAGCTAAACACAGAAAACAACTGCCTCGTCGCAACACCAAGGATCAGCTGACGCCATAAACACAACACACCGCCCTACGGTGCGGCAAGTCTCCCTCTAACATACACCTCTGTTCTAGTCGCCGCTCCTCTGTCTACAGCACAACGCAACAAGCACTTTTAAAACTCTTATCATCTTCAACATAAACGCCTCTACCAACATCTGTACTGGTGCAGTCATCGGGAGGACAAACCCTTCATGCAAACTGCACCTACTATCAAGAAGAAGAAGAAGAAGAGCTTCTTGGGTGAGTTTTCACCTTTTTTCAGGGGTTTTATTCTCATGTTGTCGTTTCTCTGCTTTTCTGGTGTTTTCTGCCCGTTTCCTGTTCCTCTGGGAACGTTTTGAGTGTTGATTTTACACAGGGTTTCCAATTTTGTCTGTTTTGGGTCTTGACCTTTGAGTTTGGGCTCAGTGTCCCTGGCTGTTATGCTTGCTCCCATACCTTGTCCCTCGGTTTTCGGTCTGTTATGACCGTTTCCCAGGGAGTTCTGTCTGGGGGCTGTGCTTTGCATTCCTGTGGTGTTTCTCCGCCGGCAAAATGTGGTGGTTTGGCCTCCCCCTGGTTCGATTCCGGGTTCCTTTGGGTTCTTTGGTTTCGTTCCGGAGGTTTCTTCTTCTTGGGCCCCCTTTGTGGGTTCAGGGGGCTTTGTTTCCTCGTGTGTAACCCGGTTTCTGCCTTCTGGAGTTCCGGGGTTTTCCTGGCTTGCAGACTGATCTTTTTGGGTCTTGGCACGTGTTGTGGTCGTGCTGGGACTTTGAGGTTTTGTAGTCGAGGTGGGCCTTTTGATGCAGTTTTGTGCCTTCTTTGCCTGGCCGGCGTGTGCTCTGCCCACTGGTCGGCGGCTTGTAATATTCTTTTAAAGTGTATGTGTGTGTGTACGTATGTACATGTGTACACTGTATGTGTGCACATGTATATGTGCATATGCACGTGTGTGTAACATACCTTGTGTGTATGTGTATGTGTATATACATGATATGTATATATGTGTATGTGTACTTTTTCTTTCAGACGGGGCTCAGTTCCCTTCTCTGTTGACGGGGCGCTGGGGGAGCAGCTTGCTCTGTTGACTCTCGTATGGTCCCACTGTTGGTGGGTGCTTTTGGTTGTCTTCCGGCCTCTGGTGGCGGCGGTGGACAGCTTCTCCTCCTTTGGGGGGGTTCAGAGCTGGCGGGGTGGGCTTCTTCCCCTGCGCTTCGTCATGTCATCTTGGTGGGTGCGTTGGGCGTGGTCGATCCGCCCCATCCTTCTGGGGTTCCCGTCTGCTCTTTGCAGACATGGGCCTTTCGAACTTGTGGTTCTTCGGGACTTCTTCAGTCTGCGCCCTGGTTTCTATGGCCTCGGAGGAGGACTGTTGTCTCCTGTCCGGCTTCTGTTGGGGCCGGGTGCCTGGATGGTGGCCCTGGACCTCCAGGTCAATTATTGGCACTTGGTGTATTTTTGTATCTTTACTGGATCTTGGTGCCCTGTCTGAGTCAGCTTGAGATTCTGTGTCTGGCCTACCTCGACGACTGGCTGGTGTGGGCGCCCAGTCGGTCCGCTTGTCTGCTCGCCAGGGGTGTGGTTCTTTCCAGATTGCCGGGTTTGGTTTCCTGGTGATCTGGAGGCCTTTCCATCTGTTTCCGTCCCGGGTTCGGACCTGGGCCTTGTTTAGGGCAATTGAGCCACTCCTTGTCTTTCCCTCCAGAAGTGTTACTGCGGGTGTGGTCCCGCCTTCGGCTGTTCATGAGGGGGTCCCGGGTTGCTCGAGCGGTTGTGCGGGAGTCTGAACTTCGACGTGCTGGTCTGCCCGCGGGGTCGGGTTTGGCTTCGGCGTCTGTTTAGTTCCTTCAGAGACTCCCCTTCCGCCTCTTGCAATCGTTGGGTTTGTTCCTCCGGGGATCTTGTGTTGGTGCTGCGTCATCAGCTTCCTTTTTGGGGTTTTCAGGGTTCCGTACCTTGGCGCCTCCCCGAGCCTTCGCTCGATGTATTCACGGACGGGTCATCTCTCAGCTGGGGCTTTGTGACCAGTGCTCACCAGGTCGGCCCGGGATGGTGGAGTCTGTCCGTCCATCGGGCTCACAGCACGATTCGGGAGTTCGTGGCTTTGTGGTTTGCGCTTTGGAGGGTTTGGGTCACTCAGTGACCCAAAAATAAGAAATATTGCCGGAACAACCGTGGACATCTTCAAGAGGAAACTAGATTTATTCCTCCAAGGAGTGCCGGGCTGTGGTGGGTATGTGGGCCTGCGGGCCGCTCCAAGCAACAGCCTAGTGGACCAAACTCTCACAAGTCAAGCCTGGCCTCGGGCCGGGCTTGGGGAGTAGAAGAACTCCCAGAACCCCATCAACCAGGTATCAACCAGGTATTAACCAGGTATTAACCAGGTGCTCTACCATTCAGCTCCATTTGGACTGTTCGCTGGCAGTTCTTGCCGGAACCACAGGGTTTCTCTTAGGTGTTGACCTTTGGGGTTGGTTCCTTAGAGTGGCTCATTTGCTGGATTCTCGGGGTTTGGCTAACCGTGAGGTTCATGTCCGGGGTGTGTCCTGCGTCCTGGCGGACAGCTGTCTCGGTTCATTCCTCTGTTCGCTGATTGGCCAGTCGTCGCCGACTCGTTTCGTTAGCTCTGCCGGACGTATGGACTCCTGGCCATGGACGTCTTCGAGTCGGCGTGGTCTAGGCGTCACCCATTTTATGTGGCGCCCTTACCCACCTGCGAGGCGTTCACATTGGATGCTTTTCAGCAGGACTGGTCAAGGTGGGGGTACCTGTTCCTCTTCTCCCGGTCCAGCTGTTGCTTCGGGTTCTGGCTCAGTTGCAGCCCGTTCCTACGAGAGCAGTCTTTATGGTTCCTTGGTGGCCGGCCCAGCTTTCTTTTCAGACGCTGCTTGATAGGTGTCCGAACCCGGGGCGTTTTCCCGCGGCTCCGCCTCTTTCGGCAGGTTGGATCGGTCCTGTATGTGACTGGTTCGGCCTTCTCCTAGCTCTTCACGTCTGGTATTTTGATGCGGGTATCACCATCTCTGTGGTGTTCAGGTGGCCTTGTTGACTGTGTCCCACCTTCAAGCTTTGTCTTGGCGACAGTATGACGTTCCTGGTGCCTCGTTTTGTGCGGCGCTGGCGGAGCCGCTCCGGCTTGCGTTTTGTGCTCCTTCTCATGTTTTGTTTCACCTCTGGCCTGCTCATGCGTCACCTGCGCCGTCCTGGTCCTTGATCTGGGTGCCTTCTTATCTTCTCCTCAGTTTGTGGTTGCCCCTTCGGTACAGGTTTTTGCTCTTTGGTACTGGTGGTAGATTTGTACATGTGCAGCCTTTCTCCGTCCTGGCAACGGTCGAGATGGTTGGTTTCCGGAGGGGTTCTTGGGTTATTGATGCTTGATTGGTTTGGCCGGGGGTGCGTCCTGTGTTGTCTGGTTGTGCTTTTTGCTGTTACCTGCGTACCGTGTCTGGGGATGCGCTTTGGTTGATCCGGTTCCCCTCATTCCCTGTTTCAGGGCTCGGGTCTCCCAGGTCGTCCGCAGAGTTTTTCAGTTTTCCAGTCTGCGGTCTGTCTTTGCGCCTGTGCTGTTTGGACGTTTGCAGCTTTTGCTGCTGTGTTGGTGACGTCTAGGGCTCAGTTCGGGCGCAGGGAATTGAGGGTCGCACAGTTTCTTGGCCACCCATTCTTTATGCGCGTCTGCTTCTGTGCGTTCTTGTTGCCTTGGGTCGCAGGTTGCATCCTGTTGTCTCGGCTTCGTGTTGTGGAGTTTGTGGCGGCCGCTACCCGGGTTAGCCCTTTCTTTTCCTTCTCTTTGGGAATGAAGCTCCAGGGAGCCATAGGGGCTTCCCGCAGAAAACCAGCGTTGAATGTAATGAAACGCCATTTTCTGGGTGATCCCTGGAGGCTCCCTGGCAACCCTCCCTCCTACCGGTCGGCAGCTTTTTCGCATTGGTTGAAGTTTAGCTTCCGAACTGAAGCTTGGCAGCCTGCGCGGTAGGTCCGGGCTCCCCCCTCCCCCTCTCGTGGCGGGGAGGGCTGCGCGGATGATCGGCGCGGCAGTAAAGTGTGATGTTTGCTTGTTTCCTTTTGATTGTAGGGAGTTTCTACCTCTCTGTTCGTTTTTTTGTTTTAGTTTTTTACCATGTGGGGTTTGTTTTGTCATGCCTACCTTTCTGGGTGCCTAACCCCGGTCGATGGTAGAGAAGGAAAACCCCAACCACAAAGGGGTTTTCCAGGGCCATTGCTCCCTGAAACCTCTCTGAAGGGGCCCAGGGCCATTGCTCCCTGAAACCTCTCTGAAGGGGCCAGCTTCTGGCGCTGGTCCCTGGTAGGTCTGAACTCCTTAGCTAATGTCCTGGTCTAATATACCAAACATTAGCCCGATAAGCTCCAGGGAGCCTCCGGGGCTCGCCCAGAAAATGGCGTTTCATTACATTCAATGCTGGTATTTTTGCTAGACTTCCCTATCGTATAGCGGCTAAAATATGCCATTTACATTTTTTTTGTTATTTTTTCTGTGATCAGAGAACGAAAATGAACACTTCTATAAGACGAAGGAATTTTTTGGAATTTATTTTTTTGTTGCGCCTGCGGGTGTTAAATCCATTTGGGCCCCTAGCGGTTTAAGAGTTAAGGGCTAAGGGTGGCACCCCGACCTTGAACAGATGTATCCAATCCCATGCATGCATGTTAGATTATTTTTTACTAATTTGTTTGCCATAGCAGTTATACCAGTTTGGTCAATCTTTTGAGCATATATTATATACTTACAGCTTTTGTGCGCACACCCTACTGGTCGTCTAGGAGGTGGAGGTGCTGGGGCCCAGGAGATTAAGGACCACGCCTTCTTTACGGGTATAGAGTGGACAGAGTAGGCAGTCTGTAATAATTATAACTAGTATAGTGATAACGTTAGCCCAATCGGTTTAAGGTTCTTTATTGTAGATTTTGTTACAATTTTTGGGGCGGAGTCCCGTCGGCTCCCCGGAGCTAACGAGGTTGATATGTAACTGTTAGCTTTCTGGCATCAAAGTGCATTGAGTTCTTGTAACCGGGGACCACGAGCCAGAACCTGGCCCCCTCAGACAGGCACGAGGAGCAATGGCCTATAGAAACCCCCATGTGGTTGGAAGCATTCTGTGTCTACCATCGACCGGGTCTGGCACCCAGAAAGGTAGGCACCCCAAAACAAATCCCTATTCTGGTGAAAATATTACTACCAAAAGCCGAACGAGTGGACAGAACTCCCCAAATGAAAGCTATCAAACTAGCATGACGTCATCACGTTGCCATGCCGCCATCTGTGCAACCCCCACTCCCCGGGAGGGGGAAAGGGGTGTCCCAGACCCCTGTGCCGGCAACCCAACCAGCAGTTCTTGGCTGATGTGATACTGGCAGGTTTGGTGCCTCTGGCTCCTGCTTTGATTTCAGTTTCTGTGCTTTGTGGCGTGGGCTGTCTCTACAGGTAGTGTGTGAGCCATGAGTAAAATTCTACGGTACTAGGGCTGCATGTGCCTAGGGTTTCCTTCCCTGGGTGCCCCTGTAAGTACTGCCCTTCATCTTCCACAAATCTCCTTGGAATCTACTGTATCTCCGCTGTGTCTTTTACTGCTCGATATTTGGCCACCCTTGAAGTTAGCTGGAGTTTCTGTTGTCCTTGTTTGCCCCAGGGTAGGAGGTAGTCTTCATCACTGATAGGGGCACAGGGTACTGCACAGCTGGTTCTCACCTCTTATAGCAGCCGGCTCTGTTCCACCTGGGTACGTTGTCCTCTTGCAGTTTTTTTTTGTTTTTGTTTTTCTACCTGGTGGGGGTCTGCCTTTGCTTGGTTGCCCCCTGTCTGTGGGGGGTCTTTCATTAAACAATTCTGTGTTCTTGGTTGTACTCCCTGAAAGAGGGGTAGGCCCCTGTGAGTGGACACCTCATGGGGGGTTCAGCTTTTAGAAGTTTGTTTGGTAGTTTTGGACGCCGGTTCGTAGTACCCTGCCTGGGCTTCCCTTAGCGTTTTGCGAAGGCTAAGGGCCCTTGGAAACCTCGCGGGGACTCCGTGATCGAATGGATGTGACCCTGGAGTCCCCTCTCACTTTGTGCAAGGTTGATGGTTGCTCTGTCCCCTTGTCTCAGGGTAACATTCACTTATCCATTCAGAGGTTGTGCCTCTGCCATGCTGCCTGTAGGGTCGGTGGTTCTTTTGATCCGGAGTCATGCTATGTTGTTGTTCATGCATGCCTCTATTCACCCTCGCTATTGATCATGATCTACGAGTGCAGGCAGCAGCTGCGATGCATGCTCTGCTCTGTTGCTGCAATGCAATGAGCTGGTCGCTTCCCCGGGTGCCCCGAGACTGCCCTGTTTTGGTTTTTGGGACCCGGACTTTGGGGTGGGAGTTGCTTGGTCTTGGTACCTTCCACCCTTTCTTCCCCCTCTGTTGTGTTTTCCAGTCACCCCCCCCCCCCCATCCCTGGCTTCTGACTCCGATCCATCAGAGGGTTTGGGGGCGAGGCGGGGTCTAGATGGTGTTGAGACACGGGCGGTTTCAGGGGTGTCCCCTTTCAGGGTGGCGGCGGAGGCATTCGAGCCTGTTTCTCTGCCGATGCTTATGGGTCTGACCCGTGGGCTCCCTTCCTTAGTGTTTTTTCGGTTGTCCCGACTTTTTCTTGTGAGGCCATGGCTTTGGGGGGACGGCTTGGCTCCAGGTCCTCTAAGTGAGGTTCCCAGGGTGGGGAAGAGGGTTGATTTGGAGGCCTTAGGCCTCATTGGACCCCGCTTGGGTTTTTGTACCCTCGGAGCGAGGCTTGCTGTTACTCGGAGGGGGGGGGGGGAATCTTACTATCCCTCCGCGTACGACTTGGGTTTGGCATCTACCTCTCCCGGTTTCGGTTCCGTGTTCCCGTGCGTTCTTCAGTCCGTCCTTCTAGAGGTTTTCGGCTTCCCACGCCCCTTCTCATGTGGTGGTAGTGCGGGTAGCCCTTGCGGCTACCTCCTGCGCTACCCGGATTATGCTTTCGTGTATGGATCTCCGTGTCGGTACTGGGTTCGTTATGAGTTTCGGAGTCGTCCTGGTTGGCAGACTGCCCTCTCTTTTCGTTGGAGGCTTGGCCCACGTTCTACCGGTCCCTGACGCTTTTGTGGGGAGAGGCTCAGACGGCATTGCAGGTTTTCCTGGGGGGGGGCAAATTTGAGCATCTCAATGCATGTTGTTTGATCCTGCCCTTCCGTGGGATGTTGGTGTGATGCAACTTCATGTTCAGGTTCCTTACCCTCGGCTGCCTTGATCGCGGAGGCCTTGCATGCACGTGGCCTGCTGGCTTTGGCTCTGCATTCTTCTCCCTCCTCGAATTGGTTTGAGTTGGATGTGTAGGTGCTTCTGGCCACCTCTGGCTTTGGTGCATTGCCCTCGGCGGTGCATGCATCGTCTGCATTGTTGACTATGTATGCCCACTCCTGCAGGATGTGGTTTTGCGTTTTTTTGCCTCTAGACTCGTGTGTCGGCAGGTGGTGCTTGCTTCTTTCTTCTTCGATTCCGCTTGGGCCCTGGCTCTTTTGTTGTCTTCGTCTTTTTGTCCGCTGCTGTTTGCAGAGTCTGCCATTATGCAGTATCTGCAGGCGGCTTTGGATAGTTGCCATTCTCTGTCCGTCTTTTCTGCTCTTTTGGCCCGCCTCTCAACTGTCAATCAACTGTTACTAACTACTAATTTTTTTGTTTCACACAGGTGCGTGCGTGCACACACACACACAATAAGAATTCCAGAGAACAACATAGAGCACATAGCGGTGTCTAGAGACGAAGTGGAAAAAATGCTGAAGGAGCTCAGTAAGAACAAAGCAGTTGGTCCAGATGGAGTTTCACCATGGTTCTGAGAGAATGTGCACCTGAGCTCAGTATTCCACTTCAACTGATTTTTCAGGCATCCCTGTTTACAGGAGTTTTAGCTGATGTGTGGAAAAAGGCTAACATAGTTCCAATCTACAAAAGTGGAAGCAGGGAAGACCCCCCTTAATTATAGACCTGTATCATTGACAAGTGTAATAGTCAAAATATTGGAAAAAATAATTAAAACTAAATGGGTAGAACACCTGGAGAGAAATGATATAATATCAGACAGACAGTATGGTTTTTGATCTGAAAGATCATGTGTATCGAATTTACTCAGTATCAATGATCGAGCAACAGAGATTTTATAGGAAAGAGATGGTTGGGTTGACTGTATCTAGACCTAAAAAAAGGCTTTCAACAGAGTTCCACATAAGAGGTTGTTCTGGAAACTGGAAAATATTGGAGGGGTGACAGGTAAGCTTCTAACATGGATGAAAATTTTTCTGACTGATAGAAAAATGAGGGCAGTGATCAGAGGCAATGTATCGGACTGGAGAAATGTCACAAGTGGAGTACCACAGGGTTCAGTTCTTGCACCAGTGATGTTTATTGTCTACATAAATGATTTACCAGTTGGTATACAGAATTATATGAATATGTTTTCTGATGATGCTAAGATAATAGGAAGGATAAGAAACTTAGATGATTGTCATGCCCTTCAAGATGACCTGGACAAAATAAGTACATGGAGCACCACTTGGCAAATGGAATTTAATGTTAATAAATGCCATGTTATGGAATGTGGAATAGGAGAACATAGACCTCACACAACCTATATATTATGTGAGAAATCTTTAAAGAATTCTGATAAAGAAAGAGATCTAGGGGTGGTTCTAGATAGAAAACTATCACCTGAGGACCACATAAAGAATATTGTGCGAGGAGCCTATGCCACGCTTTCTAACTTCAGAATTGCTTTTAAATACATGGATGTTTTGCAGTGTTTCTCGTGTAGCATGCGAGCGTTGCCGGTGTCGTCGGGAGCCGGGATATGTTCTCGAACAAAATACCTCATACTAAATATACTAAAGAAATTGTTCACGACTTTTGTTAGGCCAAAGCTAGAATATGCAGCGGTTGTGTGGTGCCCACATCTTAACACTTTTGCGCTATCCGGACGCATCGGCGCGTCCCGTTTCGTCTAACGCTAACGCATAGTGGACATAAAGTTGAGCCCTCTTTTAAAATATTTGTATAAAATTCAATTTTTATCCGATTTACTTTGGGTTTGTTTCAAACTGCGCGCTATGAGGCTCTCTTTCTCACCACTAGGCTGCATGGTACAATAAGTTCATGAAAGGTGTGGATAACTTCGATCAAATGGTATTTTGTCCCAAACGGGTTGCAGGTGGGTGACTTTAGCCGTTTATGCTGGTAATGCTTCCCCCATATCATGTATTATATGCATATGTCTGTTTAGGGAATTTTATTCCGATCAATATACAACCAAAAATAACTGTGTGCAACAAGTATAAACTTGACAAACATAACAAAAGTAAAAACATTTCGTGTGTGTTTGACGCTCACTGATATGTTCCAGCGTTGTTTTATATTTGGCGCTATTCTAACTTACGCTTTGTTGATATTTTTTACCTATGGGCACATAGAACATTCTATGGCGAACACATTGACACAAAAATGAATGACGTACATAGAAAATTAATGTCATGAGAGTGAAATAAGTATAAACTTTTAAAGCGCCGTGCGTCGTCCCGTCACCGATACCGGGTAACAATTTCACCACTTCCCACACTCTTGCGGGCGGGCCGCATCATTATTCTACGCTTATATTCATATCACCGTGTTGGGAATTTCATTGCGAGTCCATTGATACCAAAATTAACGCTGTAGAACAAGATTGGAGGTGATTACAATCCCAAGAGTAAAAACATTTTGTTGCTGATGGGCGCTCACGGCGAGTCATCTTCGTAGTTATTTATTTGGTGCTGGTATCCCTATACGTTTCGTGACTTTTTTTTACTGATGTTCTTCTAGAGAATTTTATTGCGAACACGTTGGTACCAAAATGAAATACGTAGCATGAGAACTAAGGTCAGAAGAGTAAAAAGAGTATACACATTTTTGTTTTTACGCTTAAGCGATAAAAACGCAGCGCGCACATTCGGTTGGCTGAGTGACCTTTGCGGAGAGCGCGAAAGTGTTAAGAAGCACATCAACAAACTGGAAAAGGTGCAAAGACATGCTACT